CCCTTTCGAGATAATACATTTGACTATGTTCATGTACAATATTTAACGCATGAAGTTAAAAATTCAGAATGGCCCAAATTACTCTTAGAACTTACACGTGTTTTAAAAGTTAATGGTTGGCTCGAAATTTCTGATTCAAATTACGAAATTATTCGTGTAGGTCCATATATAAATAGAATAATCAATCGTAGTAAGTTATCACAAAATTCATTTTTATTTTTTAAAAAAATAAATAAAGAATGAATGAAGCAATATTCCATAACATTCAATATTCCTTTTTTTTTTTTTTATAGTGATTGCAGACCTTACAAAATCTGATATTGATTGTTATATAGATAATAAATTTGGGAGGTTATTAAAAGATATTGATCAATTAACCAATATAAAACGATTTGAAAATACTTATCCATTAGGAAGTTGGCATGGAAAATTAGGTGAAGAGGCCCTTTATATATCTAAACCATCGTGGAAAGTACTTTTAAATACCTATAGAAAAGAACTAAAAATTCGAACGAAAGACATTGATTCAGTTTTAGAATCTCTTGTAGAAGAATGTAATCATAATAGATCTTATACTACCATATTTAGATGGATCGCAATGAAAAGTCATTTATAGCGACATTTGTACTTGAGGTACAGTTTTGGTTAGACGTAAATATACATTTTCTTTTACAATAAAAAAAAATGTCTTGTACGAAATACGATTGGTGGCCGTTATGCAAATTATATGCCGCAATTGGCGATTCCGTTAAGTACGATCCACGTTCCGATAGTAATTACCTAAATAGTTAAGTTTGAAAGTGCGGAGTTATATATTTTCTACTATGGAAATGATCGACGTAGCGGGCCGCAATTATTTATTATATTATTTGTAAATTATACATTATTTGTAAAAAAATAAAAAAAAATTAATTTTTTATTGATTTATTCAATTAAATAATATTTACTTAAAAATAAAAAAAATTTTTTATTATATTTGAATTTAGATATATAGAAAATTATGTAAATAATAATAATCATAATTAATTAAATAATTAGCGTTAGATTTATTTACATAACAATCAAATTTACAATATATATAATGTTACTAATTAAAACTAAATTTCTATGCTTACTAAAACTAATTTTTATTGCCTAACATAGATTTATCAATATTATCATAGTTTTAGTTATATAACTTGATTTTTTTCAAAAATAAGCTTAATCAAATTTTAGCATTTTAAGTAGCATTATTAGCTAAAACTATTAAAATAAAGATAGCATTACTATTACTCAAAAATAATACAATTAAATTATAATAAATAAATTTATTAATATTGATATTACAATTAAAATATTTAAAATTAATTAATAATTTTTATTAAATACTAAAAAAAAGTTTAAATAATTTAATATATAAAATAAGCATTAACTATTTATGTATTATAAAATAAATTATATTAATAAATAAGCTAATATTTTATATTTAATTAATACAATTTGAGTAATATACCACTTAAATTAGATTATGACTACTATTTTATAATTCGAATAATGTAGAAATAATCTGATTATTATATTATAATCCAATTATTATTTTATAATCTACACAGATATAATCTGATTATTATGTTATAATTCAATTATTATTTTATAAACTAGATAATATAGGTATAATCTAATTACTATATTATAATTTAATTATCATTTTATAATCTAATATTCATAATCTAATCATTATAATATAACTTATAGTGCAAGACAAAAGTAATTAGTATTGTAAAAATATAATAATTCAATAATATATAATTAAAATTACTTAAAATCTTACAATTTTATTGTTAAAATACATAGTATTATATATATAAAATTTTAGCACTTTATCTTATTTTCTTATGCTACAATTATTTTTTTAATTAAAATAAAAATATGATTAAAATTTTAATATGTATTATATATTTTATATAATTATTTATTTTATAAATATTTTGGTATCTAATGGTTCAATTTAAACAAATTTTTTTTATTTTGTAGTATTTGATTAAGATTACAAAATATATAAAAATCACAAATAGAATTACTAAATATTAAAAAAATTGTATTTAATATTTTAATTTAATTTATTTTTTTATTTATTTTTTAAAAAATGATTGCAACATAAAAAAGAATGATAAAGTACTAAAACTTTTTATTATAATATCTATATATTTATTAATATAATTGTAAAATTTAAAGTAATTTCAATTATTAATTATTAAATTATTGTATTTTTTATTATTTTAATTACTTTTTTCTTCATCATAAACCAATTTGCTTTTTTTTATTTTTGTTTTTATACATATCTTAGTATCTAATAATTCAATTTTAATAAACTTTTTTTATTTTATAAGAGCTATAAAATAAAAAAAATAATTGCATAAATAAGAATATTAAATAGTGAGAAAATTGTGTTTAACATTTTAATATTATTTATTTTATTTTATTTTTATTATAATTAAAAAGATAATTATAGTATAAGAAAATAAGATAAAGTGCTAAAATTTTTTACATATAATACTTATATTCTTAATAATAAAATTATATAATATTTGAAGTAATTTTAATTATAGATTATTATGAATTATTATATTTTTTTACAATTCTAATTACTTTTGTCTTGCATTGTATCTTTATAACTTAAATAATATAAATATTACCTTTTTGTGTTTTAATAATTTTTATTACTTATTATCTTTTTAGTATTTTTTAAACTTTTTTATTATTCATATTTATGTATTATAATTATACTTTAGCATGAATTAATGAATTACTAATCAAATTATATTTTAACAGACATAATTATTTTTATTAATAATTTATAATAAATATTAAATTAATATATTTAATTTTAATATTATTAAAATTAATTAGCATTAAAGTATAATTATAATGATAAATTATTATTTTATTATTAAATCATTATATCATTTTATAAATCTAACTACAGTCAACCCTCTCTACAATCACACCCTTCGGGATCGCCTTATGGTGTGATTATATAGAGGTGTGCTTATATGCGATTATGTAATTAAATACCAGTATTAATGTATTTATTTTATTACATCTATTACATC